CATGTTAGTCTCAATAAGGGAAGATGTCCCCAAACTGTCCCCCAAGGCTGGTGTTTCTATTGTCCCCTTGTTTTGATTTTCCAGAGCTGCAAACTGCAGCAGGGCTGGAGCTGTCTCTGCTTGCCCAGCCTGCATTTGTTTCTTTCTGCACGGTGGCCGGGAGGCTTGGTGCCTGTGTGGGTGGAAGGGGAACTCTTTGGCTTACCTGCAGCTGCCATGGCAACCAGGTAACCTGAGGACTCCAGGAGTGAGTCCTTTCAGACTGAGAGGGAAAAAAATGAAGCAAGCCCAAAATAAACTGAAAGAATCTGTGAATGGAGGGGAAGCTGCAGGCTTGCGTCTGCAGCTTGCTGTGTCATTGGCAGCGAGGAGAATCCGCCCTGTTCTCTACCCAACCTGCCAGCTCAGCCACAGCCAAGGGCTGAGGGTCACCTTGTCCTGCCTCCTGCCTCCAGCACGACCCCACTTAAACCATCCAACAGGCCCGCGTCCTCCTGTTCAGCATCCCCAGGGAAGGAGGGCCCTCCATGCTCTCAGCGACCCCGGGTAACACAGAGGACCGTCCTGGGTCAGAAGTCCGATCTGTGTGCTGAACCCTGATCCACCTTACAAGGGCAGACTCTCTTGGTTCTTTCATCTCAACCTCCCTCTGGGGCTCAGCTGCCCCTTTACTTACACATGGCACCCTTCCTTACCTATTGGATAGCCGGAGAATAAAACAGAGCTGTAGGGGAAAAAACTGTGCAACTGAAGTGCTTATGGAAGCACAAGTTAGAACTGCGGTATTTTCACAAGGGGACTTATCGTGTCCAGCACTCTGCCTGCACCATCTCACTCCACCCTTGCAGCCACCCTTTGAGGAGGTACGAGTTGCCTGCAACAGAAAGATGAAGAAACGGAGCTTCAGAGAGGTCAAGAGACTTCCCCAAGTTTGCACAGCTGGTAAGAGGTGAAGAGGCATTCAAACCTAAGAAGTCTGTCTCCAAAAACTGTGCTTTTCACCCCTCCCCCACGCAGGGGCGCCGGAGATTAGAGAAGGGCCAGTTTTTCTTGCCTTAGTCATTCCCAGGTGGTCCCTGGGCCCCAAAGCTCCAAGCAGATCATTGAGGAAGTGTCTGATGCCATTCGCATCTAATAAGCCCCTTTGATCTGTGGAGCTTGCTGGGCTTTGCAGACAAGATCGTAATAATCCTCCCAGCCCAGAGGCTGGAGCCTCAGGAGGGGCCGTCCTCTCCTGTGCCCCGTGCTGTCCAGTCAGTAAACGCACCTTTATCGGGCACCTACAATGTGCCCGGTTCTACGGGGCATGCCGGAGCACCCCAAATCCTGGAGGAAACGATTAGAGAATGATTAAGTGCCAAACTGCGAATGACGATGCAGGGAGAGAAGACAAGTCTGTAGGTGACAGTTGTGGGAGACTTGCAGGAGGGGCCTGAGCTGGGCCAGGGACGGGGGTGGGGTCTGGAGGGGAGACACAGAGAAGAGACCCACGGGCACAGGCGTGGGAGGGACAGCAGGACCGGAGTGCAGGGGATAAGCAGAGAGGTGTGGTGAGAAACGGAGTCTGATGCCAGAGAGACCTGGTTCTATGTGCTGGCCATTTAACCTCTCTCTTCGATAAGGGTCTCTGTTACATTGAGAGGTGTTTGCCACCTCAATGTCCACGTTACACCATTTTAGCTTTTAACAGAGTTTACTGCAAAGCACACCTTCATTCAGTCTCACCTGGACCTGCCTGGCTGCCGGCTCATTTCCACTTCTCTTATTCTTGGAGAAGCACAGGTTGACCAGTCAAAGATGGTGAAGGGTCCTTGTTAAGGTCCCTTAGAGGCCTTACACATGAAAGAGATTACGGCTTTCCTCCCAAATGTACATAGAAATATACTAAATGATAAAATACAAACCTTATGCGAATGCCAGGGTTAAAACACCTTCTTCGCAGGTTTATTATTTTTTTCTAAAATCCTGGATCACTTACTTCATCAAAGTTAAACTTTTCTAACAGTTTCAGTGACCTCGATTTCTAGTATTTGTCATGCCCGAAGCGAGTCCCTATTCTGCCTTTTGGGTTGTCCTGTCCCAGGGGAAAGGGTGGGGGCCCAGGAGGTCCAGGGGAGGCAGCACACCTGTGGCCTCTTGGCCCCGGAGCCAGGTGCTCTGACCCGGCCTGGTCAGGCTCTCTCTTCTCCCGATAAGGATGTTGTGGCGTAGGGAGCTCCAGGGAGCCGTGCTGGTCCCACACTCGGGGCCATGCTGGAGAGCACGGGTCTGGTTATTAGTTGTGCCCCAGCCAGCAGCTCTTTCTGCCCCACCTCACGGCTGCTGCTTGGGAAGCAAGGAGCACTGCTTCGCAGTTGCTTGGCACCGTTGCCAGGCACCGGAAGCAATGTCTCTTACCTGATCGGCAATTTGACATGGCTGCTTAACAACCCGATTAATCAAACCCAGCTCATCCTGTTAGAATTAATGAGCCTAGGAAATGCTGCCATGAATAATGAGGGCTTTTGCCCCTCCCTCAGCTCCTCTCCCCCTACTGCCTCCTATTTCTTTCTCAGAGCTGCACTGCAGCTACTCATTACCAAGGGCCCTTAGGCCTGGGTGGGTGTGGTGAGCGCCAGCAATGTGAGCATCTTCTGCCTCTTCTACTCCTCTCCAAGCTGCCACAGCTGCCCACCTGGAGCCACAGGCTGGCCATGTCCTGGAGGGGCAAAACCTCTTGTTCATCAAACAGATGTGGATTCATGCCACTGTCAAAGCTGGATGGAGTGTCTAACATTTTCAGGCACTGTCCTGGGTGCTGAGGATGCAAAGATGGATGAGATAGTGACCCTGTGAGTGTAGTGGCCCAGAGACAAGTGGGGGAAATACTATAGCAAGGGTATGGGAAAGGCCTGGAGCCCAGGAGAGGGGGCCTGTCAATATTGGAGGAACAGAGTGGGGAACCAGGGAGGGTTTTATGGGGATCAGGCCCTCTAAGCATTTCTGCCACCAGGTTCATTAATTGCACATCAATGCACAGAGCGCTGGGCACTGAGCAAGGTGCTGAGCTCCCAAGGTCAACAAGATGGACATGGTTCCCATTCTCACAGAGTGGGCAGCCTCGTCCCTGTTCCTCAGAATGTGGCAGGAAAGCAGAGCAGCTACTTGATTTATTTTTTTCATTTACTCAGAACAAATGTAATTGAGGGCCTTCTGGGGGTAGGCTGGGCACTGGGGGAACAGCCTCTCATCCCTGCCCTCCAGGGCTCCTCTGGCGGGTGGACGGGCACATGCGTAGACCCTCCTACGGCTGTGCTGAGTGCTCTAACAGGGACACGCCCAGGGCACTCAGCACGAGACACTCAGAGACCGAAGCATGAGCTCAACCTGGAGAAGTCAGGGACGACTCCCTGTAGGAGGTGGCATTGGAACCATCGGGAAGACAGAGGAGCAGTTTGACAGCTAAACCTGTCAAACCGGGCAGGTGCAAAAGGTCATTCTAGATCCCATCCGGGCCAAGGGGTGGCCTTTGAGTGATAGGAGTTGAAGTGGAAGGGAAAGATGATTCCGTGCTTCTTGGAAGGAAATGACTGGTTCTACAGTCTACAGCAAAGAGCACGATTAAATATGCAAATAGACATCTGTAACTTTTAGGTCAGGAGCTCCTGTGCTTGCTTATTCGAGGCTGGCCACAAGATGTGGTTTCCTGAATGGCGAATTTCCTAAATTAGCAGGGACATGGCTCCAGTGGTCGTATCCCACCAGGCCAGCGTGGGGCTCAGGGATTGGGGGTGTACATAGCATCTCCTGGATGCTTTGATAGGAATGAGGCAGAGGAGCTGGATCCAGAATAAATGAGTTGGGGGAGGGAGGGCGTAGAGAGTAAGGAAGGATAGGTCAGAAGGGAGCACTGGGGGGTCAGGGGAGCAACTGCTAAGTCTCTGGGAAAGCAATTGAAGGAGGTGGGTGGATGGGATTAGAAATCATGGACTCTGAGCTAGGAGGGAGGAGAACGGGAGGCTCACGGAGGCACTTTGGGGCCATCATGCCGGGCCTGGCAGGAAGCAGATGCAGGCTTCAGTCGTGGTCACCTGACATAGGGTCACTGGGTGCTCTGGGGACTGAGCCCAACTGTTGGTCCACCCACCAGGGGATTCAAATCCTGCCACCATGGAGCTGGGCCGGTCCTTTGCCTTCCTGCTTTGGCCCAGCCACTCCCAGCCAGGCCCGAGGGATGTACTTGGAGGGATCCGGCCTCCAGTGAGGGCATCTGCCCAACCTTCTAGGTTCCCAGGATCAGGCCTGCCCGCCTGCCATGCTTTTGTCACTCTGGGACCCAGGGCAGAAGGCTTCCCAGAGGGCATCTGGGTCTCCACATGCTGGCCTGCAGGAGAGCACAAACGCTCAAGCCCTGAGCTCCAAACTCGGCAAAAGGACTCTCACAATATATTTTAAAAACCTGCACTCACCAGAACATTTGATTTTGGGGAGATTCTACATAAAAACCACCGCCTAGATTCCCACATCTACAGTTTTCTGGATCTGATAGTGGCTGACCCTTCCACTGTGGTCTGGGCCCTTTAATTTGCCCCAGTCCCCACCACCTGGCTTCTGTCACTTGTGTCCCCTATCTGGCCCTGAGGGCATCTGAGTCTGAGAGCCCTGGCTGAGCCTTTAAAGAGAAGCCAGTAGAGGCTGACCCTGGCTTTGGACAGCAGAGGGCTTCCCTAGAAATCTAACCACTCATTTTCACAGAAACCCTAGGACTTGGCCAGCACCGAGTGGGAGCTGGGGCTTAGAACTCTTAGCTGAGTTGACTGATGTAGCCTGGCTCCCACAGTGGAGGGCTGGAGCCCAGGTCTCCTCTGTGGGGTCTGGTGCCTCCCAACAAAGCCCATGGCCAGGTTTGAGTGGGGTGGTCTGGCCTACCTGGATGGACCAAACTAGCAGTCTCACAGACATCCACCCACGTGCCAGACTCCGAGGCTGGGCCTCACCACCCTCTGCCTCTCTTCCTGCAGGGGGAGCTGCTGAGCCCGTGCCGCTGTGATGGCTCAGTCAAATGCACGCACCAGCCTTGCCTCATCAAGTGGATCAGCGAGCGGGGCTGCTGGAGCTGCGAGCTGTGCTACTACAAGTACCACGTCATTGCCATAAGCACAAAGAATCCTCTGCAGGTACAACCAGGGGCTGCCCGCTGGGGTGCTGGGGGCACTAGGGGCGCTGGGGCTGCCCACACTCTCTGCTTTTCTGCAGGAGGTTGATTCCACCTTAGAGTCAGGGCAGTCTGGAGAAAAGGAACAAGATGGGCCAGGTAGGCAAGACTGTGGATGGCCTGTGGGCAGGAGGGGATGAAAGAAGTTTTGTGTTTTCTCTCAAGCCTCAGCAAGAATTGGAGAAAAGGAGGGGGCAAAGAGAGGGAAAGATATAGAAGGAAAGAAGTTTGGAGAATCAGATGAAAGAATAAGTGAGCTGATGGATGGATGGATGCATGCATGCATGCATGCATGCATGGATGTATGGATGGATGCATGGATGGATGCATGGATGGATGTATGGATGGATGGATGCATGCATGCATGGATGGATGTATGGATGGATGCATGGATGGATGGATGGATGGATGGATGGATGCATGCATGCATGGATGGATGCATGGATGCATAGATGGATGAATGGATGCATGCATGCATGCATGCATGGATGAACGAACAAAAGGAAAAGAGAGAAAGGAGGGAGGGTAGGGAGGGAGGGAAAGGAAAGAAAGAAAGAAAGACCAGAGGACAGAAGTGAGCAGGACAGAAAAATGACAGAGGGTGGGAGGGTGAGGAGAAAGACAGAAAAAGCTACAGACGAGAAGAGGAAATAAGGAGAGAGGAAACTCAATGCCACTTAAACAACTTCATGTGCATGTAATCCACCTGGAATCTGGTCCAGACACAGACTATGATTCAGGAGTCCAGAGAAGGGCCTGAGATTCTGCATTTCTAACAAGCTATCGAGTAATGCTTATGCTGCTGGTCCATAGACCGCATGTCTTGTGACAAGGGACCAGAGAAAAGTGGAGAAGAGACAGGAAAGGGAGGCGGAGAAAAACAGAAGAATGGATAATGAGGAAGAAAGAGGGAGATAATATGAAGAGGCTCCTGTGAGGGGCTGGGGCAGGGGGTGGGGTCTGCCACACACATTCACACAGGGCTGGACCTGCCAGGGGGTCCTCTCATCCACCCTCCACTCCTCCTGCCGTGCCCTGCCACATCCATCTTCCCCAGAGGAGCTGGCAGGCCCTGCACCAGCTCATAAATTCTCCAAATCCAGCAGCTTCCCCTGCAAGGCGCACGCACAAACAGAGAGCACTTTGCTTCTGAAAATACCTCCACATCTGCATGGTCAGCCAATTAAGCTGCCACATAATCAATTAGCCAGCGTGCGAGTGAGGACGGAACTTCAGGGCCTGGTCCAGTTGTTTCTCTCCTCCTCTCTGAGGGAGGGTGGGGAGAGTAGACTCTGCAAGCCCAGGAGAAGAGCGGTTTGGTGGTGATGGTGGAGTGGGGTCTCTGCCTGGTGGGGCAGCTGGAAACCCAGAGCTGCAGTGTCCAGGGCATTTTATTTTGAACACTATGGAGATTTACATGGGGGTCTGCCAGGAATGAGTGTGTGTGTGTGTGTGCGTGCGTGTGTGTGTGTGCGTGTGCGTGTGTGCGCACGTGTGTGCATGCGTGCTAGTACATGCATGGGGACCAGCAAGGGGCATGATTTCTGGATGGAGGCAGTACAACCCCCAGACACCTCAGCCATCCTGATGGTGTCCCAAGGGTCAGAAGAAGAGCGGGCCCCCACGCTGGTTCCACTGTTAGCCATTCATTTCAAATCTGGAAATGTCTTAAAATAAGTGTCGTGAGACGGCTGATTCCACATCCTGGGGTGCCTTAACTCTCCCCTTCTCAGCTGTTCAAGCCTCAGAAAAGGGTCTGAGTCCAGACCCACAAGCCCCACAAAGCACCCCCGTGGCTCATAAATTGGTATCAGCCCTTGACTCATAAAATAAAAAACCATTTATGGATAACTTCTTCCTGGGGGTGAAAAAAAAGAAAAAGTTATTCTAATCTCATAAGTATAGTAAGCAAATGGCAGAATTGATAATACTGACATTAGCTTATTCTTAAGTTACTACTGTGTCTTGAACTATGAGTTTCTAGACACCAGGGACTCCCTCTGATTCTGTTGCTCCTGGAAATGCAGCAGTGTGGGCTCAGGAAATGCCATTTCACTTTTCCTGATAGCGCCAGGAGAAGGAAGTAGTTTGGTCTAGCAGCAGTGTTGCGTGGTTGTGGCCCAAATTGTCCCAGTTGTGTGTCCTGGGCTCTTTCTGTGCTTCTGTATTTGAGGTTTTTGAAGTCTAGAGCAGGAGAAAGCAAGGGTTATTGATGACTCAATGGTAGAAACAAACAGCTCCGTCAAAATCCCTCTTCACAGATAGTGAGACAGGCTCTGGAAGAAGCATTTGTTCTATATGAGAGAAGGCTCTAGGATCAGGCCATCTTCTGGAAAATTTCTTTGTTATGTGTAACCCTAGGCCGGGGGAAGCAGTGGAAAACTTAAAGGCCCAATTACCTGTAATGGGATGCTGTCTGTATAATTAAGTGTAAAGGCCCATGTCCTATATCTAGACTAACAAGCGCAATGTTTTCCAATGGTTACAATTCCTTAGGGGCCACTGGTCAGTCTTGGCTGGAGCCACAATCTGTGCTTCTATCCAGGCCATTTAACACATAGGGAGGACTCCCTGTTGGCAGATGGAAGCTTGTCTGCATTTCCTGAGAGTTCAGGCTGAAACACCTTCTGGGGGTGTTCTCTGCAGGGCATTACGCAAATCCCTACAATCAGGACATAGTACTTCCCTCCACATTCCCACATCTGATCCTGTCACGTCTCTGCTTAAAACCATTCAATAGCATCATGTGTACTCTTAGGACAAAGTCAAAAATCTGTGCACATCCTTCAGGATTCCACATGCTCTTGTTTTCTTACTTTTGTAGCTGTCTCACCCCACGCTCCCTTTCTCTCTCTCTGCTTCACCCACTCTGGTCTTCTTCCAGGTTTTTGTACTCACTATGATTTCTTCTGCCACAGGGCCTTTGTACATGCTCTTCCCTCTGCCTGGAGCACTCTTGCCTCCTCTCTTTGCCTTGTAAACTCCTACTCAACTTAAGCATCACTTCTTCTGGGAAGTCAAATCCTCCTATCAAAGGCTTCCACAGTGCCATGTACCTCCTGATGAATTACAGTTGTAAATAATTATTTGGTTATCTGTGTTCCCTAGATTGTAAGCCCTACGAGGACGGGAATCTTGTATGTTTTTGCTTACTGCTTTACCTCCAGCACCAGCAGAGTGGCTGTCACATAAATAATACATGGTGCGTATTTGTTGAGTGACAGCATGAATAAATCCCAAACTAAAACCCAACTCCGGACTCTTAAGCCTGTACTACCTAGACCAGCCATAGAATCATTGTATTTCAGAGTTGAAACCCACCCACACCCCGGCCTTCAACCCATCCATCAATACTGCTATTAGTAAAGTGCTTTTTCTGTTAAAAAAAAAAAACCCCGAAATCTCAGTAACCATATACAGTCAGGAAATCATACTGTTTTTCTTATCTCTCTCCCACATCCTGTCTCCTCTCCTTGTCTGTTGAATTGGTAATCTCCAGCATGTATATTAAATGACATGCCAGGTGGTGTAGAAAACAAGCAAAAGAAAGGTCTGTGCCCTCTCAGCGCCCATTAGTGTGAAATTAGACAGCGTTGCTCTGAAAAGAATATTCTGGGCCTTAGAACAGCACTCGCACTAGCTCTGCATTTTCATTTCCTTCTTCCCATCCCTCTGTCTGTAGGCCTTCCTTCCCAGCCATGTGCGCCCAGAATCCCCTCCCTACAGTAACTTCTGATCATTTGGTGTGATATAGGTTTCCTCCACATCAGAAGAACAATGTAAAACTCAGAAATCTGCAAAAATATCCATTGTATTACAAGTTGGGAAACCTTGGTTTAAACCCCAAGCCAGAGGTGAGAGGTCGGGGCAGCAGAAGGAAGAAGGATGGGAATGGGAGGGAAATGGGGTGAGGAATCCAAGCCACTGCTAACCTGCCATTCTCTTCTCCCCAGTGGCAGGCCATCTCTCTGACAGTCATTGAGAAGGTTCAGATTGCAGCTGCCATCTTGGGTTCCCTCTTCCTCATCGCTAGTATCTCTTGGCTCATCTGGTCGACCTTCAGTCCCTCGGCAAAATGGCAGCGCCAAGACCTCCTCTTCCAGATCTGCTACGGGATGTATGGATTCATGGACGTGGTGTGCATAGGTGGGTCTGGGGGCTTGTTTCGCTGGGAAATGGGGAGCCACATGCTGGTGAGTTAGCCAAATCCCTCAGAATTCCTTCCTCTGGAAGGTCAGAGCAGAGACGGCACCAGGCTTGAGACCTATGAGCTCAGGAGGGGCCAGCAGCTTAGATTTGAGGGGTGAGTGGGGAGGGGGTGGAGGCAGGGCAAAGAAGGAAGATCTAATCTTTCCCAAGCAGATCTGTCTTTCCCAGTGGAAGATGAGGATAAGGAAGCTGGCCTCTAAGAAGATTTGCAAAAGGTCAGTTGGTCAATCTATTTGCTTCAAGCAAGATATGGAAGGCCTCTTCTCTGTTGTGTACCCCATGACTGGCAAGCCATGACAAGGGGTGCCTATACATTTAATTCCATCCTCTTCACAGCAAAACACCCAGGAACAGCTATGAGGATACCTGCCCCCTTTTTTCAGCTTTCCTTAAGCCCATTCCAATGCCCAAGCTTTCTCTAGTCTAGTGGTTTGCAAACCGTGTGTAGTCTTGGGGTTCCATACACAGTTTCAGGAGCCACCTTGTGGGGTGGGAAATGGAATACTCCACAGACAGGCTCTGAATCTTCACTCCTGCCTCACCCGGAGCTTCTGACCTTTTATCCACTTACATACATTTCCGTTCCAGGTAAGGTTTTGTTTTAGTCTTCAGTGTTTCAGAAAAAACTTGGAAACCCACCACTTTAGTCCCTCCTTGTTCCCTTACACTATTCCTAAATCTATGTTTCCTCCTCTTCCATCATGTGAGGTTGGTTGGTGGATAGCTGGGTCTTTTTGTTTTTCCCAATGGATGATTATGGCTGTCAACTCTGAAGTCTTCATCCAAGTAACCGAGGAGGTGGGGAATGGTCCTGGTTTTCTCTGAGTGAAATGAAGCATGCTTGAGCACTGGTCATACATGCTAACCCGGAGCTCTCAGGTTATCATCTGGGCCATAGTCCTGAGGGCCTTAGAGGCCCACCATTGTCTTCTCTGGGCATGATGTCTGTGCATCACATCAACTGTGCTACACTGCTCTGTTTGGCAGGAAAACATCTACTAGCTAGAATTTGGCTGGGAAGACGTTACTGTGAATTTCTTTGGGGTCCTTTAGTTTTAGAATCAGAGAGGCCTGGAGACTTGCATACTGACTACAGCAGCCAGGGACCAGTGATGCTGGAACTGGTAAACTAGTCTAAGCATCTTGCCGCCTATGCCTGCTGGCTGAGCCAATACATCAACCCCGAGTCCAAGAGCCTTTTAATTACGGTGATGAAAGAAACATTCGGCCCAGGTTTGGAGGACGGTGGGAGAGAAAGAACTGTGAATGGAGAGGAATTTGACTTTGAGGCGTTCTAATTTAATTCTACCTCCCATCAAACTCCCTTCCTACTCCTGCTGAGGCGTGGGTTGTTGATGCCAAAAACCAGGTGTGTCTCCATATGGAGGCGTATGGCTCTGGCATGGCGGGGGAAAGAGTGGAAGGCCTTCCTGGAGGGGTCCCGCCAGCTGCCCTTCATTCTCCTTCAGGCAGGCTTTTGATCGGTCCCTGATGCGTGCTTCTATGAGACATGCTTTCCTGTCACGTGGTGTATTAGTCAGCTTTGGCTGCAGTAACAAACAACTCCAAAATCGCAGTGCCTCACAACAACAAACATTTATTTCCCATTCACGGGTCTGCGAGATGGCTGTGACTCTGCTGGGCTTGACTGAGCTTAGCTCCTGACTGTGCACTGGGCTCAGGCTCCGAGGGTCTCCTCACGCCGGGAGGCAGGTGAAAGGAGCAGGGACTACTGGGTATATGCTTCCAGCCGAGCGCAGGAGCACAAGAGAGCTGGTGGAAACTTGCATTGCTTCTCAGATTCATTATTGACACACTGTCCCTCCTACTCACAGCCCATGGGCCAGTGCAAGTCACCAATAAGCCCAACATCAATGGGGTGGTGGGGCAGGGGCATATACTCCTCCTCCCCTGGAGGAGTGTGTGTGAGAGACGGGAGCATAAACACTGCCTACCACTCAGGGCTCCATGGACTTGAAGACTGAGAGAATCAGACACTGCAGAGACTTTGCAGTAGACCAGAGCAGTGTTGCAGTTGAGAGAACTGGGGCTCAGAGAAGGGAAGTGATCTGCTCATGGTTGCTCAGCTGGGATTAGAAGCAAGGTCTCCCTCTGGCAGTCTGGTGCTCTTTCATTAGCCCTCTTGCATCAGAGAGCAGGAGTCCCGTGGCATCGCCTATGGGATACCTGAAAATGCAACCTGTGACTTTGAGTGCACCTGGGCCCCCCTACAGGAGAAACTCCCACAAGCAGGCCTGCTCCCTGTGGCTCTGAGCCACCCAGCACCCCCACTCTGGCCTGCCTGCTGTTCTGGTCTCTCCTGCTCAGAGAGTCTTCCCCTGAATATGGCTCTGCGGCACCATCTCCTCCTCCGTCTCTTTCTTGGCTCCTCTCTATCTGCCTGCCTCCCCCAGCCCACCTCTATCCCTCTAATTCTTTCTCTTCTCACATACATGTGGCACTCAGTCCTTCACTTTCTGGAAAAAGCAGAGTGGGCTAATTGTTGAGGTTTCCACATTGTTTTCCTTCTTTCCCAGCTTTTAGGAAAACGTAATTTCACAGATGCACAGCCCCATCGTGATCTCCATGATCTGTCCATCTGCTCTGACAAGCCAGTGACCACACGGAGACAGCCATTGATGGGAGGGGATGCACGGGGACCCTGACTGCTTTTGGGGCGGTTGCAAAGTGGTCAGATATATTTACATTTAGACTATCTCACCTACACAGAGTTTAGACTGCTCTATCATTTTATTGATTACAGCTGGAGCGAATTCCATTTCAGAGCATGCCCGGGGTGCAATGGTTATGCTTCCCATTTTTCAGATGTTGAAACTCTGAGACTGAAGGATTCGTCTCAGGCTGACTCAGCCAGCAGAGTAGGACTCTCAGTTCAGTGTTTTTCTAAGAGATGCTGTTCATAGGAGGAAATGCTGGGAGACACAACCAGAAAGAGACCAATACGTGATCTAGAGACGAGAGCGCGAGGTGACAGGCGGCAGTTGGAGGGCGCAGATTCTTGAGGTGGTTGCGATGATGGCGATGACGCACAGTAGTGATGCTGCTGGTTTGAAGGGTGAAGTTCGAGTATCGGTCGCTTCTCCTCCTCTGCAGTGTTCTGGCCAATTGAGGGAAACACAGCACAGCACACTTGGTTGTACAGTGTCAGCTTTTCAGGGGCTCTCTGGATAGGAGAATCAGAGGGAGCCTGCAATGTCTACCAGGGGTATCTTTATTTTTAGGCTCAACTAGGCATTCAGACTCACAGAACTACCAGAGAGTGACTGGCACCAGCTTCACCGAGAGGAATGTAGGACAAGAACACCAGCCTCCACAAGGCAGGTCCGGCTTACCTTTGCAGGCATCCTTGCCGCACTCCATGTCCTAGTCCAGGGCTAGTCTCTCAGCCCCTCAATGATAGCTCAGGAAGAAGGGCGCAGGGTCCACCTTGGCACAGTTTCCAGGGTCCCCGCAAAAGTCATACTTAGTTATGAGTCGCTGTACTCAGGGAAGCGCAAAGCCACTCCCACTAGGCATTCACAGTAAAGGACTCTCCAAACGGGGGTTACCTCCAACCAAGGCAACGTTATAGCTCAGCTGACACCCCACCTTCATCAGATCTCCAGGGGAAACGAGCCAGAATGCCAACTCAGGGTCAAGTTTGTTCTGAGAGAAGGAGAAAGTATGTCATCACCACTCTTCCTACCACCTCCTGCCTCTATCTGGACTTCTGGCCACACAACTTGATTTACTGAGCCGGTGGACATCAGAGAAGCTGCAACAAGGAATGGAGAGCTGGCTGGGCCAGCCAGAAGGAGGCCTAATGTGGTCTTCTTATGGCACAAAGATGAACACACAGCCAAGAGAGCCACAGGGTGGCAGCTATGTTACTTTTAAGGTGGTCACCAGTTTTAAAATTCAGTCAATTAGCTTATTCCAATGGGAAAGGAGAAACTCCCTTCCGGCAATCCCGAGACAGTAGAAGAAGATGATGAAAGAGAGGGCACAGGAAGAGAAGGCTCCTCACCAGAAAGTGGGTGGAAGTGGTGATGGGAGAGGTGAGTGTTCTCAAGAAATGCTGGCTGAAAAAAATGTTGAATGGAAGAATCTGTATCCATAGACCCAAACTCCTTGCATGGATGGAGAAATTCAGTACCTGGATAAAAAGTTTATCGTCAGGAGAAGGGAAAATGCATCTAGCTCTGTGTTAGCTCAGAAGGCTGAGTAAGAAATGAACAAGACCATCTCCTAAAATGAGTCTTTGGACTTTCTCTATTTTTCAGACACCAAGAACAATTTGTCTATTTCTTAAGACTGTTAAATGGCCTCAGATAATAAAGAATCTGAGTAAACAGAAAACGTATAGTGTTACTTAATCCTTAAAAATAGATTTACCTTTTCTATCAGAGTGGTGCGCTGAGGGAAAGTTCATGAGAGTGGGAGGGACACATTAGGAGAAATTCTACTGGGTGTCAAAACCAGCTCAGCAGATATTCTCTACCATGAAGCCAAGAGGATGCAGAGTCTGGAACATGGTCAGCTTCCTGCTCGTGAAGCCACACAGCCCTACCCATGGCTGTATCCATCTGGCTGGCCTCCAGGTGAATCAATGGTCAATGAGGAGACTCCGGAGCAACGACTCTCAGGGAACGGCCTTTGGTTCTCATCAAAGGATTTTGCCTGAAATTGTTGCCAGGAAGTTCTCTCTCTGATGAAACACGGGTCCAAGGTTGTGGACAACGGCTCTGGACTTGATCATATCAGAGGGTCATACACTCTGAGATACAAGCTGCCCCTAAAGATTAAGCATCTCTTGTATGGAGTCCTAGCTTCCTAGACCAATCCATGCCACTACGAAAGCCAAATGTAAGTCGCTGTGGCGAGAACAAACCGCCAAACCCCTGCAAGAACAAAGAGAAACTGAGAGAGGGCCCAAA